ATAATGAATTCGGATTCAATGAAGACTTCTCCCGTCTTAAGAGTGACACATTTTCTACCGGCAGAGGTCTACAGTGGTATAACTCTAATCCAGATTTTTAAAAAATAGCCTAAATTTAGGATGTTGACGAATCAACAAAAGCACACATTTCAGCTCACCCACAAAATATATCAAAAAAGCTGCCGACAAATTGCAGCCTACATAGGGTGCGCGCGATTTCCTTTGAGTTATGATAGCAACTTGATAACTCTCACATACAAAGGGTACCATGGACCTATCGAATTACATGAGTTCCATGAGAAGACAAACTCAGTTTTCATTTCAGTGCCTCTGCATTGATTAAGTTTTACTAACTAGAAATTGCAAATTGCAAGTGAAGTGCTGCGAAGTAAAACTGCATAAAATATTCTTCGAACAAAATTATTTATGCGAGTCAAGTGAAAATAATGAATAATAAAAATATAACAAATAATATAAGACACGACCCATTGTCTATATTAGAACAGCGTTGGTACCGTGTACAATAGTGTTTTACTGCAGTGACATCTCGCTGCTGGCGACTCGCTGCTGCTGGCGATGACTCGCTTTTGGCGAATGATCTGCGCATGTGTATAAAATGGTATTTATTTCCGAAAACAGTATGCCAGTCTACAACAAGCGTCGCCTAAATGTAATAGTTAGCACGTTGAAATAGGCTAGTAAATAAGTTTAACTGGGTTCGTAAATAATATTGGCCTCAAAATATTGTGGCTGAGACATGAGCCGATTAAACGTAGAAATAGGAAACCTAGAAATATAGTAAAAAACGCTGAATAGTACTTCAGCGTCGCGACATGCGGACGTTGGTACGAGTAGGTTAGTCTACAAACGTCGCCTAAAGTAATTGATTTTACCCGGCAGAACGAAAGAAGGAAACTCCGCTTTTCAGTTGTTGTCTTAGGCGCAGGTGTTTTGACAAACAATGACCTTTCAGAGGTCAAATTACTGTCAAGAATATGAATTGGCTGCTTCGCAGCAATTAGATCTTAGCCCGAACACATTTTCCCCTATCTTGCATAAAGTGAATGTAAAAATAGATGCAGGTATATTGTTGCAAAGTGTAAAAAGCCCTAGTTTCAAGTTAATATCTTTAAAAATCGGCTAAACTTCTTAGTGAAAATAATTTAGTTTCTGAGCAATATCAATTCAATTCGATTCAAAGTAACATTTATTTAATTCCTTTTCAATTCGTACAAAAAAATATAAAACAAAATCATAAAGAATTCATGAGAAAAGGAGAAAGGCATAGACCCATAGAAGAAAATCATCTTGTGACGATTCAGCCTTAAAACAAAAATACAAAAGGGAGACACGGAACACAAACAGAAAAGAAAAAGGACAAGGACAAAACCGGACAAAGAAGATACACAAAGAGAAAGCAAACAGTTCAAATTGGACCAAGACACCGAGCATAAGTTAAAGAAAATAAAAAGAATGATAATAAGAGGTTGACTATATTAATAACTAGAAAAATGTGTTTCTTGAGCTGGATAGAAAATGATTTTTTATTAATGGAATCGACAACTAGGGAAGGAAGAGAATTCCATAGTTTAGGACCAGTAAATCTAATGTTATGTTGAAAATAGTTGTTCTTATGATTTGGAATGTATACATCATGCTCGAGTACAGCAATTGTGTAGAGAGGAATTAGATTTGAAGATATCACAGAAGTACTTTGGTAAACATGGAGTGAGAGGATGCATACATCAAAAATACATTGTTGAAGAGAGTTGATATCAGGGAGTTTGAGAAAATTTAAAATTGAGAATAAAGTAGAGGAATGAGACCGCCATGGAGCGCCAGATATAATCCTGATAGCCTTTTTTTGAATAATGTAAGTTTATTTAAGTATGAGGGGTAGGTATTAGCCCATGTAACGGCAACCGCGTTACCTTAAGATTGGGATACATTTTGACATTTCCTGGCAATGTCACGTACGCAGAAATTGCTGTGGAGCATGGATGTTTCGTCAGTTTTTCTGATAATTCGATAAGTTTATGTTTCAAATTGTAGGTAATGAACATCAGTTTAACTAGTATAATCAATATAATTCACAGTTAATGTTATCTTCTCAGTTTTCGTGAATACTAGTTTTAGTTGAGATACAAGATATACACGTGTAAAGCCGTGTGTGTGTGTGCAGCCATTGCTGTACAACCCAATGTAGGCCTATCAGTAATTAACGAGTTTAGATTTAATATTATGACGTTGGTATCCTTTTGTGAGAATAATCACTAGCATTAGTGGTAATTGGAGAACTGAATAACGTGTTAAATTATCGTGTACGCTTTTAAGTTATGTATTTCTGGTTAGTAGAAATGATCAAAGACTTTTGCTACTACAGTAAAACTTGAATATCGTATCGCTAGCAACGAACTTGTCACGAAGTCTCGTTCCACTTGAGTGGGCTCGAGCGTGTTATGGATTAATTTTATATCACGCCCTCTATTGTTTATATTCTGGTTCCCGTATTAAATTAATAGATTATTGATACTTAACAGAATATTAATAGTATGAAAATTGTGATTAATGATTGATATTATGTTTTATGCTTAACTTTATTTTGAGAATACGATTATTACTTCTTGTTCATAGGATGGATAAAGTTTAGCTTCGGGTTGAACCTTGGAGATGCAATTAAGTTTTCACCTTTCTTCATCTATCAAGTATTGTTGAATAAACACTTTAGAACATAGAAAGCGTTGAGACCCTTTTGTTGAGTTGTGCGACTTCCAGCTACAGCCCATACAATGTTGCAGTACCTCAGATAAGGAAGAATTAGCGAGCACTACAGTAAACGTAGTACATTGAGGGGAACAAATGAGGATAATCTAAAAATGATACCAAGGCTTTTTGAGACTTTACTTTCAATTTGTTTTACCTGTTTCGTCCATGTTAGACCACAATCAAGATAGACCCCTGGGAATTTGGTATACTGAACCTTTGGTATGGCATGATTATCGAAATAGATTTTTAAGGGTGAAAGATCATGAAATTTTGACATCTGGGGGTTTCGAAACAGAATGAAGTTACATTTATTGTGATTTATTAAAAGTTCGTTGGCTGAAAAATATTTAGACAGGGAGATAAGGTTGGCATTAACAGTGTCACATAAAGTTTAAATGTTTTTGTTAGAATAAAAAATAGTAGTACAGGAAAAAGAAAGGAGGTTAGAGGACAAAATGTATATCATTAATATATAAAATAAAAAGTAATGGGCCTAACAAAGATCCCTGAGGAACACCTCAAGTAATGGGAAGGGAATTAGAAATGGAGTTAAAATATCTGGAAAAGATCTAGGGCTGTGCCACGTATTCTATAATGAGCTAATTTGTATAAGAGAATGTTATGATCGATCGTATCAAAAGCCTTAGAAAGGTCAATACAAATTCCGATAGCAAACTGCCTGTATTCGAACGCGTCAACAATTTTGTTTGTAAGATCAATAAGGGCCCTAGGGGCATTGTGTCCTTTCCTAAATGCGAATTGTTTATTGTAAAGGATATTATATTTTGAAATAAAGTTTATTGTTCTGTCATGGATAATTTTTTCTAAGGCTTTTGAGAAAACAGAGAGTATTGATATGGGACAATAATTAGAAATATCAGATTTTAGACCAGATTTGAAAATAGGAGTTACACGGGCTTGCTTCATTCTGTTGTGAAAAACACCCTTAGAAACTGAAACATTAAATATGTGAGATAGTGGAAGAGAAATTAAATCCGAAACATGTTTAATTACTTTAGTAAGAAAACGGTCGATACCAGGTGATCTGTTGTTTTTAATGTAATAGTGGCCACCTCATTAATGTCTACAGGGGTAAGAAATAACGAATTGGGTGTAGGGTTGGGTAGGAATTCTTTAAAAGAAATGTCACTTTGGGGGATATTGTTAGTTAGTGAAGGACTAATCTCAACAAAATATTTGTTAAAGGTGCTTGAAATTTTGTCTGGGTCATTGGTAAGGTCAGCATTGCAATTAAAGCAGGTATCTGGCTGATCTTTAAGGCTTTTTCTGATAAGAGAATTTATAGTACTCCAGGTAGACGTGATATCATTTTTATATTTAAAGAAAAGATTATTAAAGTGGTTGACTTTGGCAGCTTTGACTGTAGAATTTAATTTGTTACGAAACATTTTATACTTATTTTAATTTTGAGTAGATGGAATTTTGAGTAAAGTTTTTGCTTATGCTTAACAGAGGTAAGAAAACCGTCAGACATCCAAGATTTAAGTTTAAGTTTAAGGTTTTTCCTTTTGTAATTTTTGTAGGGAAAATGTTTTTCATAGAGGTTCTTAAATGAATTTTCAAAATTATTGTATGCAAGGTCAGTGTCTTGTATCTCAAACACTTCAGTCCAATGCGGATTGCTATCAGATGGATAATATAGGTATGACTAAGTGTAAAAGAAGTAGATGAAAGACATTTAAACATGTTGTATGTACTGATACTATCATAGAACCATCGAGGAATCTTTCTATTCTAGAGAAATTAACATGTATCTATAGTAATGCTATATGCTATTATTTGTGTTAAATGTAATAAGGTATATATAGAAGAAACAAAAAGTAGGCTTGGAGATAGATTCGTAGACCATTTGCGCTCTATAAACCTTAACACATCAGGCCCTCCTATTTGCAAACAGTTTAATGATAATCATAATAATTCATAATGATTATATTAGTTACCGGTATCAAACAATATTCATCTGAATTCAATCGTAGATGTTTATAGACTTTTGGGTACCCTTAATATTAAGGTTTCTTTTCTTATTTTAAACTTGCATCCTTTTCCATTTTATTTTAATGCGCATTTTAACATATTTTAAGGGAATTTTTTCAATATAAATGAATAAATTATAATAAATAATTATGTGGTGCTCTTGAATGTAAATATGTCATGCCCTGTGCGTATAAGATAAGATGTGAAAGAGTTTCAATATTATCTGTGAACAAGTGAGATTATCTACGTGAATAGAGATTAACAACAGTCTCTGTAATTGCAGAAAAAACAAATTATGCAATCTGGTTATGTGGCTCCTTTGAACAATTTTAGCTTAACGTTGTCAAAACCTAAATAAAAAAAAATACTTATAATGTGTATACCTTAAGTTTACTAACCTTCGACCATTATAGTTAACGTACAATCCTTAGTATTTCCGGATGAGTCTGCAGCTGTAAAATTCAATCGGTTTTCTCCAATACTAAGATTGGCTGGAAATATAACATTTGGATCCGGAGAGATTTTGGGGACATCTCCGGAGTTGTCAGTTGCATATATATTCGATGAGTAGTCAACAAATGCTGTGGGAGCACCTTTGTCAGTATTTACAGTCGCGTCTGCACATGTCAATATAGGTTGTTCATTATCTGAAGCAAAAAGGTTAACTAAAGTCAAATTATATTACATACCGGTAATCAGGTAGATAACTAATATTAGTATCTCTTTAGTCGGTGAACAAAGTTATTTGCCTTTATTTGCAGACGTCGTGTTCTTGTTATTTAAGACAATAAAGGCTCTGTTAACAGAACAAAAGTACTGCTTTCTGGTTTTTTGACTTATTGGAAAAAACACACACACACAAATCTAAATATAGTGCATATATCTACTGCCACCATTTAAGTGAAACTAACCTTCAACGTTTATCGTAAACGTACAATTATCAGTATTTCCCGATGAGTCGATAGCTGTAAAATTGTATAGGTTTGCTCCCATAGTAGGATTAGCTGGAAATGTTATATATGGATCAGGAGAGATCGTAGGGACATCTCCAGAGTTGTCAGTTGCATGTATTTTCGTTGAGTAGTTAACTAATGCTGTTGCAGCACCTATGTCAGTATCCACAGTAGTGTCAACTGGACATGTCAAAGTAGGTTGTTCATTATCTGAAGCAAAAAAGTCAATTTATATCAACTACGGTATATTTAAAAAGTTATTAATAACTCAAAATCGATTTTTGGGACGAATGACTGGTTTGGCTTGTTTTTGGCACATATAATAGATGTATCGCTTTCGAGATCCAACTTGCTATTGCACGGGAGTGTACATTATTACATGGACATGCGCGGACTACGCTGCTGTACGGTATGGAGTGCAATGATGACGAGTTAAACATTTTCAATTTACGACAATGTCTAACTACAACAGAAGTCGCGAATCTTAACGAAAACATTGTTACGTGATTTTTCGACGAAATGCAGTTCTGTTCATAATACTTTATAAACAGTAAAAGTTGGTAACCTCGGTTATAAGTTTTCTCCCACATAACATTTATACTATATTCTACATTAGCTGGTGCTAGTAGTTACATTAGCTTCGAGGCAAATTTCATGACTACATTAACTGTTGACCGTGTTACATTAGCTGGGGTTGATCTTCTTTTGACAACATAAGCTGTTAGTTTTTCTACATTAGCGGAGAGTTTTACTACATTACGATCGTTACTACTTTAACCGTTGTTTTCTACATTGATGTTTGTATTTGCTCACAAAAGTGGTGTGTAACACTCACCTATTCTGAATATTACTTTGCTCCTTCCAATATATTATACTAACGCCATTTGAATATTGAAAGTTCATGTGTGCTTTTGTAGCGATACAAGTCCTGGTCCAATAATTTGTAGATTCACGTTCATGTCAAATTGTTTTTTTACGATAATTTAATTGACATAATTACGAAATTAAAGAAAGTGCTTATATTCGTAAGTCACCCAAAATAATGATGTGACGATCTGTATTGTCCACTTTAATATAAATGAGTGAAGTATAATAAATAACAGTCTCTGACATTGCAGAAAAAAAAAACAAAAAAAAAACGATGCCATCTGTTTATTTAGGTCTTTAAAAAAATTTTTTAGCTAAAAGTTGTAAAAACCGAAAAAAAACCTTATAATGTGTAGCTCTACTACATTCATTTAAATTTACTAACCTTTGACCTTTAGAGTTAACGTACAATTCTTAGTATTTCCGGATGAGTCCGCAGCTGTAAACTTAAATACGATTTCTCCAATACTAAGACTGGCTGGAAATATTACATTTGGATCCGGGAAGATTTTGGGGACATCCCCGGAGTTGTCAGTTGCATATATATATTCGTTGAGCAGTCAACAAATGCTGTGGGAGCACTTATGTCAGTATTTACAGTCGCGTCTGCACATGTCAATATAGGATTGGATTTATTCGGTGTAAACACCAAGGATAGCCCACGAAAGTCTAGAAGAAGACTTATTTCCAGTGGGGTCCTTCTGGTGGTGATTGGGCAGTACACCGGGAGACAATCCCCTACTCTTTCCGAATTATGTACTGTGTTCCTTAACGTGCACATGGGCCATAATGCACACGGGACCAACGGCTTAAACGTCTCATCCGAAAGACGGTGCGCTATTGTAACTTGTATTTCAGCCCTCTAGCTGAAACACAAGGAGAGGCAGCGATGGGAATTGAACCGGGGACCTAGAGATCTCTACGGTTCAGCGCACACACAGCGGCTACCACCAGATTAGTCGTCTGAGCTAAGCTGCTCTCTCAATATAGGTTGTTCATTATCTGAAGCAAATTGGTTAACTGAGGTCAAATTATATTATACATACCTGATAATCATGTAGTGAACTAATATAAGTATCTGTAAATCGGCGAACAAAGTTCTTTGCCTTTATTTTTTGTTAAAGGCATAATATGTCCTCAAGAATAGAAAGCAGGGTTACAGCATTATCAATTAAATGTAAAAAGATTACCTACGTAAGAAGATAATGCAAAAACTAAAAGGTCTGTTAACAGAAAAAAATTACTGCCTTCTGGTTTTTTGACTTATTGGAAAAAATGTTGGCAATAGATTATATAAAACTAGTGACACAAAACTAAATTAAATATAGTGCATATACCTACTGCCTCCATTAAGGTGAAACTAACCTTTAACGTTTATCGTAAACGTACAATTATCAGTATTTCCCGATGAGTCAATAGCTGTAAAATTGAATAGGTTTGCTCCCATAGTAAGATTAGCTGGAAATGTTATATATGGATCAGGAGAAATTGTAGGGACATCTCCAGAGTTGTCAGTTGTATGTATTTTCGTTGAGTAGTCAACTAATGCTATGGGAGCACCTATGTCAGTATCCACAGTAGCGTCAACTGGACATGTCAAAGTAGGTTGTTCATTATCTGAAGCAAAGAAGTCAAATTATATCAACTACAGTATATTTACTCTATAATGTGGTGTACTAGTGTAAGTATAACTAAAGTCTATGAACAAAGTTCTATTTTCCAGATGTGAGTCTCATGATATGTAAATATTTCCTGCCTATGCGACACTGCTTTCACTGCCTGTGCATGAAAGCAGTGTGTGCATTACCAGTGAAAATGTAAGATTATCTTCGTGAATTAATTAAGACATTAACATCAGTATCAGTGCCGTAACGCTGGAGCTGGAACCATGTGGATTTCTGAGACTGTGGTTCCTTTTTGAGTCCCGGTCGCTTTATTTCTTTCCCATACTATTAAAGCAGAAATCATAGAGGGTGCTACTTAAGGTCATTTATGTGATATGATAACATGAGTATGCATGCTTGACTTCTCCTTTGCGAGTCGCAAAAGCAGTGGGGATTGCTTGTAGGTGAAAACGTATGAAAACGTACGGCGTATATTAGGGTAAGGGTAAGCCAAAATCTCGATTCGGTCGAAGATACAACAAAAATAAGTTTGATCTCAATTGGGAGGCCTTTAGCACAGCTAAGCTTCTTGTCAAGCACTGCATTAATCAAGCAAAAGCAACTACTTCAAGCACTCCTAGGCCTGAGTGAACCCATGCAATCAGCCTACATACGCCATCAGAGTATGGAGACAGCTCTGCTTAAGATATATCTACCGATGTCGGAATGTCCATCGATAGGCATCATGATGTTTAACCTATCAGCCGCATTCGATATCAATATTTATTTCCCGTTTAGAAAGAACATTTAATTATGATCAAATCATACATGAGCAACAGACGTAGCCGTGCATACGTGTTGCTGACATGCATTCCATGCCTCATCCTCTAATGTATGTGCTCCCCAAGGGTATGTTGTTGGCCCATCATGTCTATTCAATATGTACATCCGCCCTGTTGGTGACATTAGTATTAGTATATTCCACTCAACTGTTAGCATGAATTCACAAACGACTAAGACTTGCAGTGTTGACAACACTGCAAAATATTTTGAGAAAAAGGCCCTTTATTGATCAATATATATGCCACGCTGCTGTGCGAGCTCTCATCTTAGCCCGTCTGGACTACTGTAATTCGCTCTATAGTGGCCTCAATCAGAAAGAGATACAACGACTACAGAAATTTCAGAAATCTGCCGCCAGAATTATTTTTATGGTCCAACCACCTGCACATACATTTCCATTTCTTGTTCAACTACACTGGTTGCCTATACGCATCTCATTCAAAATATTACTGATGGTCTTCAAGTCACTGCATAAATATGTCGGCAATATATCACTGACTGCTTGGTTCTTCGCACTCCTGCGCGCACGACGCGCTCCTCACTATCTGTGCAACTCACCACTCCTCTTTGTAAGAAGAGAATTAGTGATACATCGTTGCATCTAGGTTGTGGAATCATTGCTTGAGACTGTGCAGTGTTGCACATCTTTTGATACATATAAACGAACACTTAAAACGCATCTATTTAACTTATGTCAATGATTGGCTCTGCATTGTTCTTTTCAATTGGCCTGCATTATCTTCTGGGATGCCTTTGAAGTCTGTCGCCACCAAATACTCAGCAGACTTAGTTTACCAAAACACTGAACATGGTAAAATGGAGAGCACCTTCTCAATGCGCACAACTTACACCTTGAAGCTAATACATTTATCTTTCAAAAAATACCAAACATAATAATATTTTCTACAAAAAAGAGTTACGAATTTAATAAGACCTTTACACCAGCTTTAAAAGTATGGTACATTTCAACTTTGAATTTATATAAATTGGATAGAGCTCGATAGTTCTAATTTTAACAGATGTTAATTAAGGAATAAATTTTGACCGGTGATGATTTTAGGGTTAACGAGGGTTAACTATTCCAAAATTCAATCCAAAAATCAGAGTAATTTTCGGTTTTAAGCTGTTTTGGCTTTATAGTCTAACTAATCGATCTTTAGGACTAGGTGGATAAACCCAGCTCAACTCACCGGGTTTATCCACCTGCCAGTCTGAACTAGGTGGCTTATCTCAAACCAGGCTGTGTTCCTATAGTAACTAGGCCTGGTGTGCCACCGTTAACTTTTTTAAGCCGGTCTTTAATCGTTGCAGGGGGTCTTGCAAATGACTATGACCAATCTGCATTCAATTACGTACGCTGTGAGCGAGCATATGTTTTGCGAGGAATGTTTTGAAACACGTTTCCTGGTCACGGTTCATTATTAGGCAAATGCTCGCGCCTCCTGGCTAATCCCGCTAGTCTGAACGCCCGGCAAAGTTAAGCCGGACTTAACTTAAGCCTGGCTTATCTCCAAGTCTGAACGTAGCCTTTGACAAAATTATAATGAAGCGTATAAACGCATGTGGTTGCCAAGTTGATTCTAACGAAAAAAATGTTAATTAGTTAATACGCCCGCGCGCGATCCAACGGTTTATTGGTTTATCACGTCAAAGGGATCTGTTGCCGAGTGATCTCCTTCTCAATAATACCTCTATGGTTTTAATGTTGATTTTTCACAAACATTTCGTTCATATAAAATATGAACAAAGTAATACAGCAGGCATGTTATGTATGACGTACTGTTTATTGAAGGCTGTATCTACCCAATTAAAAAATAAATAAATAGCTCATTTAAAACAATCAAAAACAGATGCTATAGGGCATACAAACAACACATGTCATATTTAGGCCTATACATATACTGTACTGAAACAGCTAGATTTAATATATAGGCCCTACTGTGCTTTTTTTACATTTATGTTCACACTGTCTTGACTACCAAGGCCTATTTAAGAGATTTTGGCCTATACCGTACCATTTATTCACACATAAGCATTGCAGCTTACTCAACAAGTACTTAAACAAATGTCGAGCTTCAGTTTCTATACATAACTAAAGTCGTAGCTTTACAATACAATATACAATACACAATTTTAGAGATCCAGTAACTCAGATAAGTATTAATTACATAATAATAATAATAATAATAATAATAATAATAATAATAATAATAATAATAGGCCTAATAATAATAGGCCTAATAAAAATAATAATAATAATAATAATAATAATAATAATAATAATAATTATAATCTATATTATAATTATGCTTTTTTCAAAGCCTAAAATTACAAGTTAACCTATTACGTCGGATAACGTCTAGAATTCGGAACCTACCGGTCTAGAAAACTGTAACAATATAAATTATCAAAGTCATAATCTCACGAGAGAACATAATTCCATATTTCAGCTTAATTGAGGGAAAAATAATGACTTTACTGTCGATAACTACTCTGGATTTTTAGCTGTTATGTACATGTGGAATTGTTTACACTTAGTCACACATTCCTGTGGTTTGACTATAATAAGGCCATGTAAAAAATAAGTTGTTGATCGTCCCCTCCCTACATAAAAAAGCACCCAACCAAAAGCCATGTAAAAAAAAAACCAAAAAAAAAAAACAAGTTGTTGATCGTCCCCTCCCTACATAAAAAAATCATCACAGAAATATCGTCTTTCCTCCCACAATTTAACTTTGGCTAGGCCTATGGTTTTCTTTTTAAATGTAATTATTTTGTCTTTCATTTGTTTGTTTGTACAGGGAGTTGTTAGAGTGTATAAATTACACCATATAGAACTCTACACTGGAAGGTCCGTCAAGTAAAAATGAGGTCTTAACACGTTATATTTTCATATATATGAAGGAGGTGGTTTCATTAGATTGAAAAATTAAGGAAAAAAAAAAAGCCTCCCTGCCTACCGACAATCAAATTTGTTTTTTATGTAGCCTCAGTTTCAACAACTTTGAAATTTGCAATATTGTTCGCTTTCCTCTTCATAATCCATCACTTAGTGACTGCAAGACAGACAATGAACTCTAGACCTTGGATAAATATGTGAAAATTGCAGCATAAAATGCTTAATCTATGTCAGAACTTCCTATTTCAATCTACAGTAATATCTTCAATATGTCACAAATATATCATTTCTAATATAAATGTACAGTAATTCGTAAGGGCCTATTAACTAACGCCTTGCTTCATTTATCCTACATAGCCCTACCTTCAACAAATAAATGCATAACGTTCGCCACCACATTTATCAATGAGTTGCCTTGGAAAAAATATAGTAACCTGAACGTTGAGGTCTAGGCCTAGTGGTAAATTTCCCTAGAATACTTGTGTCCTTCCGTCTGTGGTCATAAATAATTGTTATATTTTATTAAAATTAATCGCTATGTTTGAGCGAGGTTCTTAGCAGAGTAGTCGTCGCCGTCGTCGTCGCCGTAGTAGTAGTACGAACGAAAATGAAAAGGAAATGCCACTGTAAGCACCTGCGCCCCACCATGGTTGTGGCAGAGGTTACAACATTTATGATTATTGAACCTCTTGTCGTTGGCCCATGTCTTGTCGTTGGCCCATGCCTATTCACTAATGTACATCCGCCATCTTGGTGGCATTCTTCGTTCGCATAGTGTTAACTTTCACATGTACGCTGATGATTTACAGATATACATACCATTTATCCCAACCAGTCATGAAGACATCCACTCTTCTATTAATTGATTTACCAGTTGCATCAGTGATTTCCAGAACTTGATTTATAATAACAATCTCAAGTTAAACGATGAGAAGACGGAATTTATTGTTTGCGCCTCTAAACTTCACCTTTCTCTGAATGATGTCAGAGACATCAAGCTCAATATCAATGGCAGCATTATTTTGCCTTCCACCAATCATACCTAGAGGTATGATGCCAGGCTAGTGATCTGGAGGTCATGGGTTTGAGTCCCACACAAATTGCGATTTTGTTGACAATCGTTTTCAAACGTACTGAGTATTCAGTTTCCATGACAGGTAGGGCAAAATTACACTAATACTTAATTCTCCTGACGTAAATCCAGTTATTGCCTTTTCCATCACGACAATGACAATTACTATCAACACTGCAGTATCCGCTGCTTACTTGGACTCGAAATCAACCATGGCGCAATCTTGGTGGTCTAGAGGTATGATGCCAGGCTAGTGATCTGGAGGTCGTGGGTTCGAGTCCCACCGGAGAATAACTTGCGATTTTGTTCACAATTGTTTTTAAACGTACTGAGTATTCAGTTTCCACGACAGGTAGGGAAAAATTACACTAATACTTCATTATCTTGACGCAAATCCAGTTATTGTCTATTACATCAAGACAATAACAATTACTATCAAAGTAAAGGAATTAAAATTAAAAGGAAACATAAGAAAGAAAAGTAGTAGTAGTAGTAGTAGTAGTAGTAGTAGTAGTAGTGGTAGTAGTAGCAGCAGTAGGAGTAGTAGTACTAGCAGCAGCAGTACTGATGTTAATATGGTACAGGCCAAATATCATAGTGACACTACACGAAGTCTATGATATCATAATTCCTTATTTAAGAAAATACGTTTTTATTGTATGTTTAGATCTCATACAAGAATATTTACACACAAAAATGTACGTCGGTGGTGGGCATCACATTAAATTGAACTTTCCACATCCACACCATTCTTTGCTGTATTTTTGCCATTCCTTATCTTTTTTGGTCTTCCTTTGCTACTATAACATCACCTTCTATAATATTTTCCTCATCTATACTTGCTCTTGTCAATAAGGTCGTAGTCCGTAATTCATGTTTGAAATGTGAGTGGTATTTTACCAAGACGACTTTACAGAACTAAACAATACGCTCGATAGGCTAGGGCAAGCTAAAACAAAAGTCTCGAAAACATAGTCAAACCACTGACCTCATAACCTCTTTTTCGAATACAACATGTCGGACTCCAAAGAAATCGGTTCGTTACAAAAAAATTCAACTTTGCGACCGAACAATGCGAAAACAATGCTGCAAATGTTACCCAGTTGGCAAGCAAACATGGGTCCATATTATAGGAAATTTATGAGCCAAAATGTGGGCCTCCTACAGTTTGGCCTATACGGGAAAGAGCTGCCTGTGCACCCTAAATCCTTGAAGGTCTCATAAAGTTGGCCCAAGTGGATCTGTGGGTCCCACAAGGTTTGCACTATGGTTTCATTTGGGACATATATGGGTTTTCCCAAATTAATTTGCCTTATGTGGGCTATATCTGGGTTTTTAAAGGGTTGAATAGGTGTTGAAATGTAAGGGGACCCTATAAATTGGTCTATACAGGAAAGAGCTGCCTGTGCACCCAAAATCCATGTCCCATAAAGTTCGCCCAAATTAATTTATGGGCCCGTTAAAGAATATATTTGGCCCATTAGGTTTGCATTATGGTTTCGTTTGGGACCCATATTGGTTTTACCAAATTAATTCATGGGTCCATTGTGGGCTATATCTGGGTTTCTAAAGGGTTGAATAGGGGTTGAAATGTACGGGGACCCTATAAATTGGCTCACCATAGGGGAACAGACTACCTGAGCATCTCTGCGTGTTGTCATTGTTTTGAAGTAAAATAAATTTTAACTAAGATACCTGTCAGTGGCGGACCGTCAAGGCAAGCAAGGTATGCAGCTAAAATAAATAAGAAAATATAGTAGTACAGATTCTGCGTTTGATTTAGCATTTCTTAGCCACAATCTTCTATATAAATCTTTTTATTTTTCGAGTGGATTGCTGTAGTTTATTGGGAAAGCAACGTTTTTCAATGTTTGGCCTACTTTGGTATCTAGGATAAGTCACATTCGGGCCTATCACATCGTACTCTCAGCTGCTTAGAATTTGCGCATGGCTCGTTTTCAATATCAACCAATCACGTATTCAATGAGTCAATGCAGGGAGGAATAAAATAGCCTCCATGGTCAATGAAGTCAGAGCATACCTTACAACGCTTAAATTTCCTATTGTGACAACCGTGTGGTGGCGTCAGAATAGCTAATTTAACACTGGAATGGAAGCAGTGCTTCCAAGAGTATGTGCGCATGCTCTTCTCGAAAATCAGGACCTTCACTACCGATCGGGTATTTTATCTATGCCTAATCTCAATTATTAAAGTTTAAATAAATTTGCGTGCATATAACCGGTATAGAAGAAACTTTGAAGAAATATTGAAATATGTTAAAATAGAGAAATAGGAATTATTTTGAAAAGAAAATACTACAACCTTGCCTTTATTAAAAATAACATACATTTGTATTTTGGCTATAGCGCAATCTGATCCTGTATATTAGTAGGCTTACGAACTTTTCCTACTAGCAGGCCTAGCATCAGTGGCGTAGGGGTCTTGAAATGGAAGGGCGCTGATATGGTGGAAAGGTAAAGTGGGGATCGGTAATTAGGTGAGGGGCTAACTCGCAAAATAATGTGATTTGAAGTGGTTTTTAACTACTTGAGCATGATCTGTGGATGGTGGATGGACGAGTATTTTTATCAGGGGGATCCTATATATGTCAATACATAGCATACCCTGCAATTTACCCTACGGTCCGCCACTGATGCCTGTCGTAGCAGAACAAAATTGGTGCCTTGTGATTCTTAACTTCCTGGAACATTTATTAGCAAGACGATATCATACAGTGGCATAAAACATAAATAGTTACATACTTACTACTTCACCTTAAGTGTAACTAACCTTCGACTTTTATCGTAAACGTACAGTTATCACTATTCTCTGATGAGTCTGTAGCTGTAAAATTGAAAAGGTTTGCTCCAATACTAAGATTAGCCGGAAATGTTGAATGTGGATCAGGAGAGACTATAGGGACATCCCCGGAGCTGTCAGTTGCTATCACTGTCGTTGAGTAGTCAACAAATGCTGTTGGAGCACCTATATCAGTATCCACAATCGCATCAACTGGACATATCAGTGTAGGTTGTTCATTATCTGAAGCAAAGAAGTCAATTTTCATTCAGTTTTTACTTATTTGTTCTTGTCTTTATAATTATTTTGAACTGGTTTGTTAAATCTATCATTTGATTTGGTTCGACTCAAATCACATCCAATACTACGCGTAACTATTCTCTCATAAATAATAGTGCCTGTGTGCTATCTTCACCCTGATTATAGCAGTTTACCCGGCCAAAACATATTTATGTCATCAGGCATAACAATTGCTATGGAACATTAAACGCAGGCATACGCCTGATATGAGCATCGTTTATACAGTCGTTATTTTTTAAAGTAATAGCTTCCAATACATTTTATTTTATTTTTATTCTAGTCATAACTGAAATTATATTTTTTAAAGATAATAATTTTAATTGTAATTATAATATTTTATATATGGTTTTTAAGTACTCTGCAAATAATATATTTAATATTTATGTTGCATGTTTCTCTCGGTTGGTACTGGAGAGCTACCTGGCAGATAGGCATTGCCTTCTTTTGAGCAATCATACCTGGTACTGCTGAGTGGCTTCGTGTTTTTGTATTTGTATGTTTCGTCCTTTGGTAAAATAAACGATATTATATGATATGATATGATAATATCAGTTGCTTGCTACGTTATCATCGACTTTTTGTCAATTAATTATTGTCAATCTACGAATAAGTTTGTTTGCCTATTACTGTAGATTTAGCGTTCTTAATGTGATTTTTTTCTATTCGAATTTCCTGACGAACAGGGTCTCAGGATTATCAGTAACAAGTCAGATTACCTACGTGAGCGTGAGCTGATATGATCTGCCATTGCAGAACAAAATTGTTGCCTTGTGATTTGTTGGAACATTTGTTAGTAAAACGTTATCAATTGAGTGGCATAAAATAAAAATATTTATAGTGTACATACCTGCTACTTCTACTTTAACTAACCTTCTACTTGTATTGTAAACGTACAATTATCAAAATTTTCTGATATGTCTGTAGCTGTAAAATTGAAAAGGTTTGCTCCAATACTAAGATTAGCTGGAAATATTATATTTGTATCAGGAGAGATTGTGGGAACATCCCCGGAGTTGTCAGTCGCTTTTATTTTCGTTGAGTAGTCAACTAATGCTGTGGGAGCACCTATGTCAGTATCCACAATCGCATCAACTGGACATATCAGTGTAGGTTGTTCATTATCTGAAGCAAAGAAGTCAATTTAAATCTATTATTATTATTATTATTTGAATACCACTTTGCTTATTTTGTCAAATAAACAACAATAAAAATATAAACAATGAATACCACAAGAGACCGAAAATCAGAGACAAGAAAAAGAAAAATGAATAAATATTAAGGATATATATGGATATATATGATACATTTATGGTATAATTTTGATGAAGTACTTTGCTAAATAACATATACAGGGATAATAAATACGTTGTTGAAAGGGTTTAAAGGCAAGAATAAGCAGATCTTGAGGATAATGGGATGGCGCTGGATAAACACGATCTTGTCATTTTCTTTGTTCTTTAATTAAAAACGATAAATGTGAAGTCTCTCATTTGTATTATTAAGCAGGAATTCCATATATGATAATACTCTTCATCCGACTAGAGAGTTGTAAAGCTTAAGGATACTCAAACATACTATTAACGTAAATAAGATCAGTACCATTAATGCTATGCCTTGATTGGTTAGAAAATGGTTATAATGCTATATAATAAGGGTAATCGCTTAGCATTATAAGGTGATATAATCAGTTAGTAATAAGGTTGTATGATAATGTGATTTTTAATAACTTAAACGTAATTATTTTTCCCAGCATTGGATGGGGAAAGGGGCACAACCCACACCATTTGGCCATAATACCATCATAAAACTCACCATCCTCATCGTTTAGGCCTCTTCTAGCGACATGGCCAGTTGCCACCCGGTGTTATGCCATCCGGCCTTTGCCAACCGGTCTTTTTCCACTATGTCATTTGCCACACGGCTTTTTGCCAGTGGCCTTTGAAAGTTGCCACCCGGCCCGTTGCCAACCTAGGGCCGTTGCCACCCGGATCTTTGCCACCCAGCCTTTTGCCACCTAAGCCCGTTTCCACCCGGCTTTTTTTCACACCAGACCTGTTGCCACCCTAGTCTTGTTGCTACCTGGCCTTTTGGCACCCGGCTCATTGCCACAGTATAGCATTTCATTCTAGGAAAGCTCGCTCCAGACATATTTTGCTACAACATGTGAACTGAAGGATGTCAAGAAGGAAATATCTAACTGACCAAAATTTGGCCAGTTGGACATTTTCTCGAATGAAGGCCACGCAAATTATCCGTGAAGACGTAAACCATGAACAATGGCTCTTGTCATGGTATAAACAATCTTAAGGATAGTTTTTGCTCAGATCGTTAATGTCACTTTGTAGTATTTAAGTGCTCCGCTAACGATGAGATCAATCAGTTTTAGTCTAGATCTACCAAAATTTATCCTAAAGTTTACCACTGACCTTAATTATAATGAGAAAATATAGCTTGTAATAAAAATCGTTCTTAAAACACGGAGGAATAAGTTTAAACCAAATGATTGCCATATTGTTCAGTTAAATTAATTAATAATGTTTGTAATGACCACTATTATTATACACACGTAGGTTTGAGGTAAATCTATATAAATAACTATTATTGTCATAAATGTGTAATTTAATTGTAAAGATAAACTGGACACTACAGTATAGCCCTCTTAAATTTAATTAAAACAATTTCTACTCCAGTATTACTTTGGACTAACTTCACCATTCAAAAAAAAAAAATTATAAAATATATGCATCCATAATTACTAATATGTATAAAAAACAACCCAGCATCATAATTCGCTTTTTACCCTAAGTTGGCAAAAGGCCGGGTGGCAACAGGCCTATTTGTGTAACGGGACTAGGGTGGCAACGGAACTGGTGGCAACGAGCCGGTACGGGCCGGGTGGCTGTAGGCCGGTGGCAAAAGGCCGGGTGGCAACGGGCCAGGGTGGCAACGGGCCAGATGCACTCATGATGACAGTTACCCTACCCAAACCTGTTTGTTTCATCAGGCTTAACAATGGCTATGGCAAATTAAACTCAGGTATTTGCAAGACATGAGAATCGTTTATAGTGTCGTGATTGTTTTAAAGTAGTATCGGTTTCTTGTTACTTCATCATCGATCTTGCGTTAATTATTGTTATCATTCTACGAATTAAGATTTTTTGCCTAATTCTTCAGACGTAGCGTTCATAATGTAAAATATTCCTTGTCGTATTTTCTTAAGGTGTTAAATCAGGGTTCCAGAATTATCAGTGAACAAGTCAGATCCTGTCTCTTATAC